GTCCTTCGCTCTCGCCCTCTCTCCTCTCCTCTCCCGCCCCCGCATACTTTTGCGTTTTCATACCCCTTGGTGACCCTTCCCCCGTGTTGCATGCTAGCAATCATGTACTACTGCGCTCTGCCCTGGTCGTCATTACTCTTAACTTTCCTTCTCATGTGACTTCTTCTCCCTTGCCCCTCCTCTCCCCCTCCACATGCCCATTTAGCCAAATGGTACGCAAACGCTTTTTTATCTGTGTCCGTTCAAGGAAGCGGTTGGCCTGCTTTTGCTCTCCCTCTCTGCGTATATTTTGGTAGCTGCTTGCACGCACTCTGAGTCTGTTTCTTGTTCTTCTGCTGCATTTTAACGGTCATTTGCCTCACCATCTTTGATTTTTCCTTCGCATTTCATTGAACCACGTCGGAAAATCGACATCTTGGTCAGTTTTGCTGCCTTGTATGGACGAATTGTTTTCTTCTTGCAGAGTGTTACTGAAACGGTTTCAGTAGAGACATTGTTTTACACTTTTACGGGTCGGGCTGACTGGGTCCCGTTCCCACTGGTCATGCGAGACACGATCGCCCTTCGTGTCTCAGACAAGCCATGTATTTGCCTTTGGTTTATGGCAGGACCCATGAAACATTGACAAAAGTCTTAAAGTGTTTTTTTTCTGATGCATGGCGGTGATTGTTCAAACATCGATTCCGATGATGTCAACCATTCTCATCAAACAGGTTGGTGCTGGGAGGATGACTGTAGACAGGGATTCGATTTAAGTGAATGTAGACGCGCAGCCGTCTACCGCACTCTTCACTTTCGGCCCGCTTGAACCGGTGACAAGACAGAGTCGAAGGGACCGAACGGGATTGGGCGTAGGCTGCTTTCTCCCACGCAGGCCAGAGTACCGCCTAACTTAGTCTTAAATGGCAGTAGACTTTGGTACTACCGCACTACCTACCCCCACTCACATTCAACAGGTATCAAGGCAGACACAAGGAGACCGAGACTGATACTGTTTGCTGCTACTACTACTTCATAGCGATGCAACTTAATAATAGTAGTTATACTTTTACTGACGCTAATATTAGTCATAGGTGACGCTGGGGCCCATTTCCCCTCGATTCCAACAAGGGGGTGTCAATCTGGATTTATGCTATTTCGAGTAAATAGATGTTTGAAGCTCGGAGCACATCAGCGCTTCCTTGATTTCCGCCCTCTAACCTCTATCCACTAAAGCATGTCAGTTGCTACTAAGTTAGGTCTAGTAGGGAGCTACCTGCTGCAGAATCAAATTAACATGGAAATTCAGTATTTCTTCCAACTGTATCAATAACTGATTTATAAGTTACGCATACTTTTTTTCAATAAGCATAACAGATAGGAATATGAGCTTACCAGTTTCTTCGTCTTCAACTGGGATGACTGTATAAGAAACCTGGGGTTTGCTAATGTGTGTGTCGTAGCCCATTGTTGGATCAGGGGACCCCGCCGGAATCCAAAATGGGAGTAGTTGGGAGACGGAGAAAAGCCGAGACCTTGACCGGCTTGAGCCAAAGGTCCGCGGGGGTGAGTTGGGTGTCTGGCCAGGAACTGCAGGCGAACAGGTGCTGACAGTCATGCGGAGAAACGCCGCAATCGGGACAGTAGTCGGGTGTGGACGGGTCGAGCCGGTGCTGGTACTGGCGAAGGACCATTGAGTAGCCACTGCGTATTTGAGCCAGAGTAC